ACCCCCACTTCCATTTCTGCTTCCCTTCCTCCTCCCCTTCCACCACAACAGACTTACCAGCCGGACACTGCTCTTCAAGTTGCTGGGTTGCGCATCAGAAATTGGATCAGTATCGGCTGCTATGCCTCATTAAAAATCAGCTCCAATTGATATTGGCCTCAAAGATGTCTATTGGTGCACCCTTAATTTTAGCCCATGGTCAGATTAGTACAGACTGTGGGGGGTTTTGCCCTCCTCTTTAGCAGGGGCATGGCCCTCTACCTGGGATTTCTTGAGCATAATATATTAACACCTTTTTTAGAAGCCGGGCATTGACTGCCATTTTACCTGTGACAGGTTAGGGTGTTATGTCTTGTGTTGTGTCAGCGTTGATCGTAGTTTTACACAATGTTTAGATTGTGGATTTCCATAGGCTAGTTTGGATGCTGCCTCAGGCAGAGGGTTGGGATGACCTATGGAGGTCCCCTCAGGCCCTACCTGTCTCTGATTCTCTGGGTGAAACTGAACTTGGATGACCTATATACAACCCTAGTATTGCTAAAAAATGTTTAACTTGATGGGTCTCATTTGATACCTGAATCTGGACCATTATGTCAGTGTTTTAGTATATATATAAAAGAATATTTTAAAACTTAAGTAGCAGGTGAAAGAAGATTGAAGTTTTTAAATCTTGTCTAATTTTTGTCCCAGTCTAGAGAGGAAATGTCACAAGATATTGATCTGGTCAAATTGTGGAAATAACATGCAAAGACCTGTTTACGTCATACTTTAATCAGAGATATTTGGTTTATGTAAATTGTAGGCTACATATCTGACCTTTTTGGGGGGTTTCCCATCACTAGTAATTCTTTTCCGTACTGAAAGCTTTTTAAAATTACGTATTTCTTAGCAAGAAGTTTTATCATGATTTCTAGGACATCACTCTTCTGTCATAATTTAGTTGATTTCCTCTCTTTCCAAGATTTTTTTTACTAAAATAATTGGGGAAAAAGGACTTGTCAGTAAGCAAGCCAAGACCTCAAGGAACAGCTTTCATAATCTATAATATTTAAATTGTCCTTCCATATTTTTGTTAAAGTTTTATGTTGTTTAGCTTGCTTTTTATAGACTTGAAGCCTTTCTCTTTGGCTTGGATTTGAATTAATGTCCTTCTCAGAAGGTCAAGTATTAAAAGACTTATTAGAACTCTTTCCTTTGCATGATGGAGGTGATGAATTCCCTGTAAAACAAAAGCAAATGTAAAAATGTAACATTAAATTGTTAACCTTCCTGCTGTTAATTTCCATCCTCAGGAAGTAATCAAGCAGTTAAAATATATTTTTGTTGTGTTGTATCCAGTAAACATTTTAAAGATCCTTAAATGCATGAACAGCTGGAATAGTTCAGGGCATGGACCTTTCTTATTTAGGATATTGTCTCATGAAGACACACTCCCATCTAATGGCTATGTGGCATGCTGCTTAAAATCATTCCATCTCATTCTAGTTTCTTCTACACAGATATTCACAGTAAATACCCGGTGCAATTTGCACTAATTATCATAGATAGCTGTGTCAGCTAGAGGTTGAACAAATTGGGAGACAATTTCTCAAGCCTAAGCATGGAAGAGGGTTGCTCCTTCAAGTCAAGAATCGGATTTATTGAAGAGTCATTGTGAAGGAGTATACAGAGCTTTTGCTTATGCTCTGCTAGCCCTGTGGTTAAAGACATTCTTCTTGACACTGTCAAAAGCACCTAAACTAAGTAAAATTAATTTATCATACTTTAATGCTTCGGCATGAGTTCCCAGAAAATATAGCTCGAGAGATTCTCATGTTACTTTGCGGTTCTGTTTCGGTTAGCTGGATGACAGCATCAACGTAATGGGAAGCTGGAATACAATTCGTGTCCCAGGAAGTGAAAATGAACTTCGTCTCACCGAATTGGAGCCTTCAAGCCTCTATGAAGTTTTAATGGTAGCAAGGAGTGCTGCTGGTGAAGGGCAGCCTGCTATGCTTACATTTCGTACTAGCAAAGGTAGGTGCAATTATTATGCCATGCATAATAGATATCACAAACTTCCACTCAGTTGCATTTTCTCACAGACTTGCTTGTTGTAAATTTAGCTTCTTTCCTACCTTGGATAACACATGACACCAGCAGAGCCTCCCTATGCCTGACGAAGGGTGTTTGTGCCCAAAAGCTAGCAAAGACCTTTTTTCGACCTATTTAGTTGGTCTAATAAAAAATATCACATCTGCCCAAAGAATCTTGCCTAGCTATCACAAAAACATTTCTGTAGCTTAAAATGTCTGTGGGAGTCTGTAAAGCTGTTTGTGAAAACAGACCCATTCCTTTCATATTTAATTTCATTTCTACTTCATATTTAATTGTATATCTATCACAATGAAGGCTATTAATAATGTATTCTAGGAGATGATGGTATGTCACCATAGTTGTTTAGCAAAACGCACTAAAGTCTTGATTGCGCTGCTTGTTCCCAGGTGATTTTTTTGAAACAAACTGTAGCAAAGGCAGCTACTTTTTTATTGATTTCTTTGCTGAAAGTAGATAAGCTGGAGTCAGAAAGCAACCAGCCAACAGTTGGTCTTCGCCTCCTGGTATTGGAAAAGAAATTCAGTCCTGATTGATCATTCCATTCTGGGTACCCATGTGTAAATTAATGTAATTACTTCTTTCTCAATCTATGAACTGCCTCTAAAAGAGCCCTTATCTTTCTTGAGCAGAAATGTGCATAATAAATTGTTGTGCTAGTTCTGAAACGCATTAAATTGTGAACACTAAACCTATTTAAATAATTTTTTTTTTAAGTTCGGGGTTAAACTTGCAGCCAGGTGTTTATTTTCCACTCTACTTAAAACATTACTAATGCAAAGGATTAAATGACTTGCCATGAGATGAAAGAACTAGATGTTCTGAAGTTTTAAAAAATGAAATAACAGAAAATTCAGTAAAAACCTTAATTTATTTCCAGATGCATAGCCATCTGTGGTCAGTGATATCCATTTTAATTACCATTTTTTGGTTTTTGTTGGACCTATTCTGTTGCTATAGTGCTTTCATCTGTCCCCTTCTTCACTGACTTGGCAGTTCCAGTGCAGTGTAAATCATTATTGGAAAGCCATGCACGAATAATTGAACTTCTTACATATCATACAAAGCAAAGATATAGAGGTGGAACAACCATACGCTGCTAGGCAGATATGCAGTAATTATGTAGGCTGCTCTGGCCTGAGGCTTGATTAGGTCTGTGGATTAAAGTGGTGAGAGGATTTTCTTTCTTGTCTGCTTCTGCGGAGCTTCTCAGTGCCCAGCTAGCCTGGCAAGTGAGACTGGGAGCTGGTGCCATGATTGTATGCCAGACAAGGATTTACATCTTGTATAAATGAAGAAAGTGAGTGTTCTGAGAGAGGAAGCTGTGACTAGGTTTTTTTTCTAGCAATGTCTTAACAAATCACCAAGTTTGTTTATTGTATATCAAACATTTATTAGAAAGAGCACCATCCTCGAAAAACACTCAGGCCCCATCTCCACCAGTTGGCATTCCTAAACATCCTGTCGTTCAGGAGGGGACAAATAACTTTGGTGTGGTCCTTTCAGATCTGTCTCGGCATAGTGGAGGTAGGTGTACAGGTTGTGCCTTATTCATGTATTAAATGTTACAATGCAAAGCATATCTATTTAAGAAACTTCTTAATTCCAATATTACAGTTCTCTACTTTTAGAAGTCTGTTTTTATTTCTGTTTATTCTTTAGATCTGTCTTCCTCCTGCAGGTTTTTTCTCTTCTGAAACATGGTTAGTAAAGTTCAGATATAGAGTAAAAGATCATGTGGCTTATGCTTTTGAGTAGTAACTAATAAATTCATCCCTAGTCAGTGAGGGAGTTCCTTTAAGTAGCTACCTAGGGCTGCCTATACATGTGCTTGTTCACATTCTAATTAGAACACTTTGGAGCAGACTTGATTAACCAGGGGCCCAGTCAGCCCATTAATCCAGGGCCTGGTCAGATTAATTGAGTCTGTTCCACCTTTTAATTAGAATGCTCTAGCGTTGCCTCACCATCACGTGTATGAAGCCCCTGCACGTTTTAAATGGCAGGTGTGGTGCTTTAACTAAACCTCTTGTAGAATGATAAGATTAGATAAAGTGTCCCGGGACCATTTTTAAATGTACAGCGGCTTAATATATGTGATGGTGAGCTGTTTTAATTAGAGTGTCTGTCTGGGAACTACTCTAATTAAAATGCCCCCACCCCCAAGCACATGTATAGGCAGCCTAAATGTCTCCAGTCATTGTTATTTAACAGTCAGTTTGTAAAAATGAGACTGCGCATTTCTAATGAAAGTTTGTTAAATACTGGGAACATCTACACATGCATTTAGGGTGAAGCAATAACTCCCAGAGCCCTTTAAGTCAAAGTAAACTGCTCTCGGGCGCAACATCTATACGTGCGCCTAGGACAGCAGCAGTTTGAGCCAGGGTGGAGCCCTCAGTTGGCTGGGCTGATGGTACAATTTATGCCCACAGTCAACATCTACACATGCGTTTCAGTGCAGTTATTTACTCTGCCATAGGATGGTATTTTTCTCAACACTACTATCTTATGGAAGAGTAAATTAGTTTGCTGTGTCCTAATACCGGCACATGTGTAGACCATGATGCTTAGCTAATTAGTCTACTCTGCAGTAAAGAGTACATGTAGATGCACCCACTGAGAAGTTTGACATTGGAGCCAGCAAGCGGGAGTTTAATTCACTGAACATCTTAAAGGGCATTTACTTTTAATTTAGTTAGTTTTAACTCATTTTTTTAAAAATTAGTTTCATACTTCCCCCAAAATTTCCTGACTAATTTGTATAATCTATGATACCTTTTTCTGTGTTTATGGTAGTCTCTCAACTAGCTTGCAAAAAGCCCATGTGCATAAGAGCAAGGGAAATAAGTGACATATGGGTTTTCAGTTTTTACCAGAATTACTGTTCCCCCAGTAGAAAACAGAAGTGTGCAGAGGTTCAGACTTTCTTACAGAACAAAAATGGCTGTTCTGGGAGAAAAATAACCTCCAAAGCAACCAAGGTTAAATTGCTCCTAGGAGAGTTTTTCTCCCAGGAGAATGAACAGCCGCACGCTTTTGCATAGCTTAACTCATCCTCAGGACTAGGAGGAGTGGAGCTGGGAAAAAGGCTCTTGTGCCTTCCCAAGACTGGGGTCACTGGTTTAGAGAAGAAATGGTTGGGGCAGCTGCTCCAACCTGTCCCATAGACCAGGAAGGAAGGTCAGGAACAGCTGCCAGCTACTCCTAGCCTACTTCTCATCCCAGAGTTCCTGATGTGAGAAGTAGCCAGAGGCTTTGGTCCGGTCTCAATGGGAGTACTGCGTCCAGTTCTGGGCACCGCACTTTAAGAAGGATGTGGCCTGCCTTGAGAGGGTTCGGAGGAGGGCCACCCACTTGGCTGGAGGGCAACAGGGGGAGGGGAGAGGCTGAGGGACCTGAACCTGTTCAGCCTCAGCAAGTGGAGGCTGAGGGGGGATTTGGTGGCTGCCTACAAACTCGTTAGGGGAGATCAGCAGCAAATAGGAAAGGTCCTATTCCCCTCAGCAGCACCTATGGTGATGAGGAACAATGGCCATAAGGTGCTGGAGAATAGGTTCAGGTTAGAGATTAGGAGGCACTATTTCACTGTTAGGGTGGCTAGGATCTGGAACCAACTTCCTAGGGAAGTGGTCCTCGCTCCTACCTTGGGTAAATTCAGAAAGAGGTTGGATGAGCATCTGTCTGGGGTCATGTGATCCCAGCATGTGCTCCGGCCAGTGGTGGTGGTGGGTGGTGGTGGGGGTCAGACTAGATGATCTATTCAGGTCCCTTCTGACCCCTAACTACTATGAAACTATGAAGCTTTGCTGTGCTGCTCCTTCTACTCTGCTGCCAAGCACCAGGAGCTGATAGAAGGGAGTGCTACACCCAGCTTGCTTCCCCATTCCCCTCCCCCTGCCACTCAGCTGAGCAGCAGGGGCAGTGATTGAAAAGCAAGCTGTGTTCTCAGCTCTCCCTTGCCTCCCCCTGCTGGCAATTTAGAAGCCAAAGGGGTGAGGAGTCGTGCTTGGAGAGAGCCTCCATACGCCCAGCTCCTGACCATGCTGGCTTTTCAGTCACTGCTTCTGCCACTCAACTGATATGGAGCAGTGTGGGGCGAAGCAGGCTGCTGTGCCCCTGTGGCAAGACACCTGGAGCCTTGCCACTATTATGAGTGCTCCCTCTGCTGCTATTGACCTGGAAGAGAGCAAGCGGAGAACTAGGAGGTTTCCCACCACAGGAGACTTGTCCTGCCAATCAGCTGATTGGCAGGATGGGAGGGGCATTCTCCTGCTTTTCTCAAGCTGCCAGATGCCACGTGGTAGCCTACCCCCTTTCCCAGCAAGGGAGAGGACAGGCTTTCAATTCATGGACTCCCCTAAAGGTGAGGGTGGTCCAGGGAGCAGCCCTTTTGTACCCCCTGGCTGGAGAGCATGCCTGTGAAGCTCTCCATCCAAGGGGCTCGAGAAACATTCATACAGTTCAGCTCTCTGGCTGTTTTTCTACCAGAAGAAATTGAATGTTGTTTTGAAAGCAAATGCCATTTTGAAAATCTGTCTTCTTTGTAGTTTCCTAGTGATAGTCAAGTTGGGTTTCTAACCATAGCACATATATTTTCATATAGGGGCATATAGGTGTTAAAGGTGTTCCTGTAAATATCTTACTGTTAAATACATCCTGAGCTCCCTTCAGCAGAACATGACTTGGTTATTGGGGAGTTGCTAGTGATGATAAATAATACGAGCACAAGAAGTACAGCATTTTAGAAGTGTCCAACTCTCACAAATATATGTCACTTTTGCAAACGAGGGTTAACCTTCTAGGTGGCTTAGGCACTTTTTACAATTTTTACTCAAATAAGCTCTTAAGAATTTCAGTCCATTTAATACTTGAAAAACTTTTGCCTTTCTAGTCCATATTAAATTCCTCCCTTTTTGCTGCCACACTGTTTTAACAATATATATCAACCAGTGTAGTGAAGACTTAAAAATGTCTTTTTGATCAGATATACTAACACCACCTCTTTCCATTCTCTCTGTTCCCACTGCTGTCTGTAACTTCAAGTGAGTGCAGTAAGTATTAATATTTCTTGTTGCATGCTTTCTCACTTCGCTTTTTCCCTTGCTACTTTTAAATAATATTAAAAACAATCCAGTCGATAGTACCATTTCTGACTTAATGTTTTCCTGAGTCTTGAAACTTCAAGTTTTTACTCTTATCAAGTTGTTATTGGTAATTTAGTAGGTGTACATCTTTTTGTAATTCCAAGCAAAGGATTAAACTACTAGCATGTCCATTCATTTTGTTGACCAAATATATAATGGAAGTCCCGTATTTTCCAGTAATATACTACTATTTAAGAATATGTTTATTTATCCAAAATTTAATTGTTGGTCTGCAAAGCAATCAACATGGACATACATATTGCCATTTATTAAGTTTTGTATAAAACTTAGTATTATTATTGAAGGATAAAGCAACAACTTGAGATGCACCTTTCATTTTGTATAATGGTGTCTGGAAATAAAGGATTTGTGCTCTGTGATGTTTGACATAGTTGCTCTCATTTGATTAAACTAATCATAGATAGTCACCATGGAGAACAAGTTTGTGTTTTTTCTAACTCCTGTGTGAATATTCTTTGATTTCCTGTTTCAGTTCCTGAGGCTCCAGATAGGCCTACTATCTCAACAGCATCTGAAACATCAGTCTATGTCACCTGGATCCCACGAGCAAATGGTGGCTCCCCTATCTCTGCTTTTAAAGTAGAGTACAAGCGTATGAGTCGAAACAGTGATTGGCTAATTGCAGCTGATAATATCTCTCCATCTAAATTGTCAGTGGAAGTTCGTAACTTGGAGCCAGGTATTAAACTCTCTTTACACTCCCAGTAGTATATTTTGTTCCTTAATGCTTATTCTCTTGTAAGGAAAAGCTGATCTGAATTTTTTTAAATATCGATCCAGTGGGTGATACTGGTTTAAGATTAAGATTACTAATTATGTAATAACGATTACATTTTAACCTGTAGTTGGCTTAGCTTTAGTTGGGAATTCAAGTTACTCAAATTGAAGCTGATTTAGCTTTTTTTTAAAAGGAAATTGTTGGCCCCAATATTTTTCTTGCTGAGGTTTGCTAGTGATTGGTGTACACTTGCTTTAAGCTTTTCCACTGATTGTCATTTCTAGTAACAACTATAGAGGTGCACTGATACATTGGTCCATATCGTATCGGTACTGATAAAAGGAAAATTGACATTATTGGCAATTGGCTTTTTTTGGTTGATGTGGCCAGTAATGTTGCTGGTAAATGTTGCATGCATGTGCACAGCTGCAGCATGCAAGCGGCCAGCCTAGCAGCTTGGAGAGAAGCATGGGGCTGGTAAATCTGTTGGGAAGGGGTGAAGGAAGGAAAGGGGCCTGGTCAAGAGGGGGTGCAAATCAAGGCCCCCACAGTAAGGGAGGGAGTGGGGCAGAGGCAGGCAATGCTTGGGTGGGTCACAGGACAGAGCCACGAGTGGCACATCTCGGGGATGCTCCTGCTGCTTTGTGCAGGGTGAGGGCAGGCTGCTGCTGGAGGCTGGGGCTAGGGGAAGTGCCAGCCTTTTCCCTGCAGGGGGTTGGAATGGGGCTGTGCTTGGGGTGGGCAGCGGCAGCACTGGGAGTGGGGGTTATGTGGTGGGCTACAGCCACCCTAGAATTCACTGTAGCCCTCCTCCTAGCAACACCGTTGCCCATCCTGAGCATAGCCCTGGTCCAGCCCCCTCCCAACAGATAGAACCTGGTGTAGTCCCAAGCCCACAGTGGACAACCCGCCCTCACCCCACACACAGATCCAGGGGGCACATGCCCCCATGTCTCCCCTGGGGTGCATGCAGTGGTGGGAGCTGCCCACCCCACCCCTGCACTCCCTGAATGAGCTGCTCGTGGCTCTGTCCCACGACCTGCCCCTGTCCCAGCCCTACTTCCTCCCTCATCATGGGGGCCTCCATCTGCCCACCCCTCTATGCCCCTCTCTCCCCCCACCCCACAGACTTAGCAGCTGGATGCTGTTTTCCAAGTGGCCGGGCTGCATATTAGCAATCAGATCAGAATTGGCCGATGTGGCTCGTTAATAATTGGCCATCAGTATTGACCCAAAAAATCTTTATTGGTACACCCTAGTAACAACTAAATTTACATAATGATTATAATGTGCTTCCCTGCACAATTCATTTTTTGTTTGCTGGTTAGTACTATTGGGCTAAAGTACAAAAGAACATCAGTTACTATTAACTAGACAGAAGTGCAGGGATTTTTTATAAGTAAGCAAGGGGGGTACCAGTGTCTACAGTCTCCAGAATTGCAAGCAAACGGTTTTGTGAGATGCACTTGCCCAAATTGTAACAGATAACACTTGTTTTAGAAGGGAAAAATAACTAGATCTTGCCTTTTGGACAGAAAATTCCTTTTCAGTCTTTCAGAACAGCATGAAAGAATGTTGTACCATAGTTAGGCATCGAAAACCACTGAGATCTATTAATTAGCAAATAATTTTTAGAAACTCAGAGAATAGAGGCCTTTCTGTGTTATGTTTGAAATGCTTTTAAAGCGTTTTTTTAGTGTTTTTTTTTGACTCACCTAATTTTCTCTTTGTCTTTGAAAGGGGTCATGTATAAGTTCCGTGTGATCGCTATTAACAATTACGGAGAAAGCCCACGAAGTGCAGCTTCTCGACCTTATCAAGTAGCTGGCTTTACCAACCGTTTCTCAAATCGCCCCATCACAGGACCTCACATTGCCTACACTGAGGCAATCAGTGACACTCAAATCATGTTAAAATGGACTGTAAGTGCAACTAATTTTGCTCGTTTTGTACCTATGGATTGATTCTTGCTGCTTTGGCAATTCACTGTTACGCAGATAAAGAACAAAGCATTCAAGTTTAACAAAATAATTGACTATTTTGAGGATCATGGGTGATACAGGAAAAGAACACTCCACTTTCTTCTCTGTATATTTGACATTTTAAAACGTAGAATATGACTTTTCTTCTAATGGACGTTAATAGCAACAATCTTAAGCCTTCCGAAGAGTCAGAAGGTGCTATGTGATAGATTGCTATTAATATGTACACTCTAGGAAGTCCTAACCAAGTCTCAAATCCTGTTTTCAACTGAAAATTTTCTGTGAGCTACGAATGATGAGGAAACATAGCCAATAAGAATTCCATCTTGCAAAAATTCCTCATTTCCTGTAATTTCATCTTTCTTAAATAAATACTTTAGCATCCTTATTGAAATCCAGTATATACAAGCAAAAAATAACAATGTTTGTGAATTATAGAACACAAGGTATTTAGGATAATGTTAAACACAGAATCTTTAGTTCTACAATTTTCTAAACAAATCCAGCTGCAAAACGCAAAGAAAAAACATTTTAATCAGAATTCTATGATTGGAATTCAAAACCTGTGAAATCCTGAAGTCGGTGTTGTATGTGTACATTTAGCTCTGCATTACATTCAGCTGTTGGAAGGATGACCACAATCTGTTTTCAGAATACAGTGATTCTTATAAGACTTTTTTCTCTTCTTAATTTCACTGATTTCATTATCATGATGGCCCTGGTTTAGCTTTATTGATTCAAGTGCTTTTGAAAATTATCTGAGTTTGCATTTTTAAAAATGACATTGCATGAAAGCGCCTTTCGCCACTGAATCATAAAGTTGGCACCAGATCCACATTCCTTCCTATGCTTCTTATGAGTGCCACAGCATGGGGCTGTTTTGTGCAATTCAGAATTGCAACAGTCCTTCCTCATTCTTTGGTACACATTGGACTGGGTAAGATGTGCTCTAACAATTCACAGCATTTTATTTGACTAGATGTTTTACTATTTCACGTTAGCTGCAGCTATAGATGCAGCACATCTTCCTGCACTTCATTCTGTAAAACTTTTATGTGAAAAAAATCTACTATGCATTCTGAGAGGTTTGTGTTTTCTTTTTTTTTCCAACTTCATAATCCTCTGTCAAATCCACTATGATATTTCTCTAGCACAGGATGTCACTTAATTTACATAGAGTTGTTTTAGTTTTTACACCTCATCTGGTTCAGTTGTAAGGATGTTCAAAGTAAGATTTTAAAATGTTTTTATGGCAGGTAAGGTGTGTTGGGTAGGGAGGTTGTGCTTTTTGGGGGGAGTGAGGCAAGGGAGGAGGTATTATTCTTGTACTTTGAGTTCAAAGAGTCCAGGAAATTCAACCTTGGACAGGCTAGCACAGAAGAATTATCTATCAAATTGGGCAGTTTCAGACACTTACAACTTTGGAATGGAAAATGGGAATCGAATGAAAATTGTTACACCACAGGAACTTCTGTGGTCTTTTGCATCTGTTTCTGACTGAGGAAAATTTCTTTCGATGTTTAATATTGTTCAATCATCATAAAAACATCAGGTTTATTTTATAATGCATTATTTTGGTTCTCTTTTCTAGTACATTACTTCAAGTAACAACAACACGCCCATCCAAGGATTTTATATATATTATCGCCCAACAGACAGCGACAATGATAGCGATTACAAGAGGGATATTGTGGAAGGTATGTCATAGTATACACAAATCTTTGTACACACCACAAAATTGGCCTTGAAAGCAGCTTAAATGCCCTATTGCACGACTTTAATGGTGTTGCTGTTTGCACGTTCGGTGGCGTATTCCGCTTTAAATGACTTTGGTATGTAGGAAGATAAAACACCTCCAAGGTGTTTTGGTTTGCTACCTGACAAAGAGCAACAGTACACGGGGTTCTGGAAGCTGACGTGCTCAGGGCTTGATGGGCCCTGTGCAGCTCAGGGGCTGTGGGTACCGACAGCAGCCCATGCAGGCAGGCTCCACTAAAGGAAGAAAAAAGCAGCAAGCCTGACGAGGCAGATAAGGGTTGGGCCCCCACCCTCGTGTACACGCCACAGGAGTTTAGCTCAGTTTAATTCTCCCTAAGTTGAAGCAGTGTTTTTGAAAACCCACCATTTCAATTTAGGGAGAACTAAACCAAATTAAACCCCCTTGGCGTGTACACCAGGTGATTAGAGACGGTACGCTAGTTACTTTTCAAGGAAAAACGTCATATAGCCATGATGGGTGCGTTGCATATTAATCTAAATTACTTTTCCCAAAATTATTTATTTGTTTATTCAACAAACTTCATATCTTAACTACTTGGCCTCAGATTCTGTCCACACACAAGCTTTTTTCTCTTCCTCCTTTAAGTCATGACTATATTGGAACTTAATGGGTTTAATTTTTACTTATATATTCATCTAGTTATACCAGTAGCTACAATGAATTGTGTACCGAAAACATCCAATACAGATGAAAATGTATAAATTTAGGTTAATCTATTAGTATAGTAAAACACAGGTTTCCAAACATTTTCTTATTGCATAGCCCCTTCCAGATTTACCAGCTGCCTGCGTACCCCTACTAGCATACGTTATATAATTTAACCCCTTAAATGCCAATTATTATAATGAAAATTAAATCCACCATTACACAATTTCTCTCGCATACCCCCCAGAGGTTTCTTGCATACCTCCAGGAGTACACATAACACAGTTTGGGAGCCCCTGTACTAAAGCATAGTAAGCTAACATGAATAAAATTTGAATCAGTTTAAGTATATTTCCATTAGATGTTTATAATAGTTTAACTAAATGGATTGTGGATGGATGAATGGATTGGAGCTTTCCAAAATAGATAAACCCTCTAGCTTTGCTTGCAAATTAGAAAACATTTTTCCAGTTACTTTGCTGTAGATGTTTAATTGCCTGTTATTTTGTAACATAGGGAATACATTCTGACCTTCAAATATTAGCTTGTTTGACAGTTTACCATGATTCATATTTTGCCTTTTAAACATGTTAACTGGGTAACCAAATGGTTCACTGGATCAGTCTGTGAATCTTTAGATTGTAACTTCTATGGAAGAAGTTATTACACATTTTTATACAAAAAATTAGGGAAAAATGTTTCTAATAGTCTGAATTAAATAAATTGAGGCCTTGTTCTGTTCAAGTGATGCGAATGAGTTGTTTGGGTTTTTTTTGCTGTTAACATAACAGGATCAAGACATTATTTAGAAAATTGCTCCATACTTGACATAGACTGCACAGTATTGCAAGGTGACATAAGCTTTAGCAAACTATAGAGCTGGAAAGATTTACTGTTTGTGTTGGGAGGATTGCTTAACAGAAGCTTATGCATTCAGCAGCGTTGTCTGTAGATATATTTTGGCTTTCTGGGACTCGCAACTTGTATGTTTATAAATGTTATGCACTGAGCAGTTAGTTAAGCAGGCTCCTCTGTGCTGTGAAATTTGCTTATTTCTGATTTTCAAGTTTATGCGTACTGAAATCTTTGTAGCAGTCTGAAACGATTAGCAGCTGGTCTGTTGTGCCAAAGCCTGGAACTAAAATTTACATGGTGGAAACTTTAAACATTAAGCTTTTCTCTAAAATAGCTAAAGCTAGTCTCAATTAAAATATGAGCCTTTTTTTTTTTTTTTACATAGAATGTAGATAGAAACATATGATAATTAGTTTAGATGCTTTGTCTTTGGAATTAACTCCTACCCATTACAAATGACTAATGCGCCCTTATTTATCTTCCCTCAGTTAACCTCAAATCGATGTCTGATTTTTGACAGGGGAATTTATCTTGCAATGGCTCTGTCACTAGTAGAGGGGGGAAAAATGCTGTTGTGATGCTTGTGTTAGCTAACTAGTTGCCTGAGGCTTTCATTACCATTTCCTGGTAAGTCTTGTCTTCAGAGGAGAGACAAAAGCTTACAGAACACTTTTCCCCTATTAAAATTGTCACAGACTACATGAATTTTATAAAACTGTTTGTGTTTGTATCGTGCAGCTCTCTGGAGTCTTCGCCTTTCAGCAGAAGCAAACTAAAACTTGTCCTCACGTGCTGAGATTTTTCCTTGTTGCTTGGATCCTGGAGATTGAATTTTAAACCTAAATTCAGTCTGATGTCAGTTGTTTAAATGTTTTTCCTTGCTAATGGTGCATGGAGAGCACAGTTAAAGTGCCCATACTGATTCCAGTTCCACTAATGGTTTAAAGCGGAAACCTAAAACCTGGTGTAGTAATTACTGAAAGGAATGTTTGGGGGTGGGAGGAGAGAGGAGACAGGAGTAAGCCTTGGAAAAATGTGTGCTTTAGGGATAGGCCAATTCCAGCTTCAAGCAATATTTAAATAAGTTATTATTTGGGCCATCTGTTTAATTTAGCGTGTGTGTGATCTTCAACTGTAGTTGTGTATTTCATCTCCTGAATCTCTAAAAGAAGGCAGTTTAAAGGATTTTTCTTTGAGTCATAGTGTAAGTCACTATCTTTTCTAGGGTATTTTAGTTATACAGCCATAGGATTTGTATCTTTGCTTTGATTGTGTTGAGTTAGAATGGAACTTGGTGCCACCCCTGCTGGTCAAGAGGACTTTATTTTTTTAATTAATGCTTAAATCAGTATGGTGGTGTGACAGTTTCTTAGAAACAGTGGAAACAGTTCAAGGTAGTATTTTTCTAAGAAGGATTAGAAGTTCTCAAACAGTTAATTAAACTCGCCAAAAAGGCCTGTTTATTAAAATTTGTCACAAGTCTGTGAAAGTAAAAACCAAGAGTGATTTATACTGGAGTGCTTGGTACTTCAGGAGGGAGTCTAAATGAAACTTTGTCTGGGAGCCAGAGTCGACAAAATCATTTTATTAGATTGGAATCCATGTCCTCTGAGATGAGCAGAATGAAAAAAGGCAGATCTGTTGTCTAAGGGTGTTTCCTAGGGTATTGAATAAAATATATTAAACTACTTGTGGCTTCTACTACCTGAGAAGCCCAAGCATCAACTTCAGCTCATTCTTTCCAGAGAAAATAGCCATGTGTTTAATTGGGACTTCAGCATTTTTAGATTTGAAGACACTTTGGTTTTCTTACAAAAACTGAGGTGGTATCACAGTGCTTTGACCAAATTCTGAACTGAAAGTTCATTTTCCCTACCTCGTCCTCTTGTTTCAGTGATATTTTTTTCCTCACTGCTTGCTCTAAACATTGTATTTTAACCAGATGACATATTCCATTCCAGCAGTGTGTATATCAGATGGATGAAGGAAATGTTATGGATAGTATGTGATTAATTTATCAAGTGTTTTCGACTCTTTTAGGAAAAAAATATACCAGTAATTCTACATGTAAAACATGAAGAATAATATATCCTCAAAAGAAAAGCTCTGCAGAAGCCAGAGCTTTTATTTTTGTGGGAAATTCTGCCATTTTAAAATTTCCCATAAATAAAGTTTCCAGAAACATGTATGGATGCATTCTATTCCAAAACATGTCAAAATGGAAGATTACAGTTTTGTTAAAAACCCTTTTCTCATTTTTACTTTTCTCCCCAAAACAACATTTTTTATCAAAACTGACACATTCTTCGCCCGGGTAGAATATTATAAAGATAATATTCCTTCTGTACTACAAGGCAAAACTGCAACAACTCGATGTTTTTTCTTTGCCAAAAGAAGAGAGCCAGAAGCTGTATTTTCTTCTGTGACTTAAAGGGTACACTGCCACAACCACACACTTGCACACATTTAGTTCTGTCTTATGTCCAACAAGAAAACAGGTAAAATTCCTCTTTTTTTCTAGGTACAAAGCAATGGCATTTGATAAATCATCTGCAACCAGAAACATCTTATGATATTAAAATGCAGTGTTATAATGAAGGTGGAGAGAGTGAGTACAGCAACGTGATGATCTGTGAAACGAAAGGTGAGGAGGCAGTGCCTCTATATATCTCCAAGATAAAATTACTAAATTACATTGCCATGTAATATATGTTTCCTTATCTCTTAAATATTTCTTTCTAAACTTGGTAGGCTAGAATCTGTTTTGCAAACATTAAATATAGTTATCTCGTTTAAAACCTTGGCGGCAGCACCTGGTGATCAAAAGCTTAGTCCTAGAAAATTAATAATTGCAGGTCAGTGATTCTTTGAAGAGTATGAGCTATCTGCAATACAGTATGCGTGTGGTGTGCTAAGTAACTGTTAAGTATGTAATTGATGTGATGGTGTCTTTTGCTTTCCTGGAATCATTTTGACTTCCTGCTGTTTTTCTGGAACCAGGTAAGATTTCTATCTGACTCTTAATACTTTCTTAAAGAACGAAATTTTAGAAAAGTAGGTCATCTGGCAATGGCTGGTTGGTAGAAATGAACAGTGTGGTTTTTCCTGACCTCAAAAGTGGAAAGGTTTGTGTGTGCTGGGAGCTGACATTTTTTTCTGTGTTGGAAATTTGGTGCAGTCTCTCGTAATGCTTAGGTTCACTTGCTCATTGGAAGTGTCATGCAGCTTAAATGAGTGTACTAGCTAGGTGGATAATCAGCATTTTCCAAGGACAATAATTGTTTGTAGTATCCAAGCTCATCAGTGTGTAATATATTTTCAGTCAGATATTTTTTATCTACAAGATATTGGAGCGCTAAGTTCCAGTGTTTCTAAATTTGTGAACGGAATGTATCTGATTTAATTGCAAGTATATAAACCTATGGAATACCTCTTCCACAGACTTCTTGTTCCCAGTTGTGTTCATAAGAAAATGTATGTCTCTTTCAATTAGTGAAGCGCACACCTGGAGCCTCAGAATATCCAGTGAAAGACCTGAGTACACCACCTAATTCTCTTGTTCATGGTGTTGGGAGCAATGCTGGTCCATCAAATGGCCCTGTTCGGAGCAGTGACATGCTGTATCTGATTGTGGGCTGTGTCCTTGGAGTGATGGTCCTTATTCTCATAGTTTTCATTGCCATGTGTCTATGGAAGAATCGTCAACAAACCACCATGCAGAGTAAGTTATTCTTGGTTTTCTTTTCTGTAAATATAATGTGTGTGTATATATATTATCAGACTAAAATTAGAGATAATTCAGATTTTAAGTACTATAAATGAGGAAAGATTCATCCTCTTTCATGATAAGCTGGGATTTGATTAGGAATGCAAATGGAAGTTTCAGTTTCTATTGAAAAACAGTGAAGACTATTTGTGACCATGTTCTCTGTTTCTCTGTATTGAGACTCGTACAAACGACTGTTCAGTGTTGGATTACTTCACTTTTAGCGATGCCGTTCTGTGGATCAATTAATACCCTGAACAAGCAAAGAGCCTTAGGCTTATGTTTACCCTTAAGCACAAGGACAGTCTTCTTAAATTCAAGTGGCAGTACTCACATGCTTAATATTCATCACTTGATTAACACATGTTCCTAGATCCAAGCATAAACCCCATATTTTGTCTATCTCTTACTTTTTTCCGGAACAACAGATATCCTGTGGCACATTAATAAAAGCAAAGAAAAGAAAAAAGA